TCTCCTCCCCATCACAATCTTGTTTAACTCAGCCCGGCTTCCCGTTTCCCCCGGCTCCGCCCTCTGCCCTCTGGGCTGTACAGCATGTGCAGTGTCTGGTCCCTGTAATGAGATTAGGCCTCATCTCCTTTTAATAGAATGCGGTGGGCTCGGGGAGGGAGAGTGATGCTGAGCTCAGTTAAGCCCTGCAGGTAGCTGCTGCCCCTGCTTGATTGCATTAAGTGGAGTGGTGGTGCATGGGGGTTGCAGGGGACTGTCACAGCCCAAGGCTCTAGAAGCTGCCAGAGATCTGTCACCCCGTCCTATGCTGTCATAGAGGAAGGATAGTGGCTGTGTAAGGGGCCATATGAGCCCCCTCTGGTCTGCGGGGCAGGGAAAACCTTTAGGGTGGCAAATAGCTGCTTCTAGGCCCTTGAAACTGCTGTCCACAGTTCTGCTCTGGGAGCAGAGATGGCCCAAGAGCAGCCGGTGTTCTGGGGGCCACCCAGTTAGGAAGGAAAGGTGAGAAAGTGTTCTTGCCATCAAGATTGGGAAATGAGGAACCATGATTCAAAGGCGCTTGCTTGCTAGAGAGTGAATCTCAACCAATTTCAAGGTTTGCAAGTGCAGACATGTTTGTGGGTGGGTCGGAGTCTGTCCAGAGCCACCAGAATGTCTACTGCTGTATCCCGGCATGGGACACGGCCTCTCCGTGCACACAGATGGGTTATCAATTATGTTGAACTGAACAGCAGTGGGAGTCCTGTCACTAAAGGAGCCTTTCAGTTTATCTTCTGTAAAGCACAGAACCACTGACTACTTTGTCTTTTTTGTGAATTTGGGCTTTTCACTTAGAACTTACTGACTGTGAAGTCGTCTGTAGGCAAACCACAGGCCTGCTGAGGTAGGACGGTCTTGGTAGGTGTGAGTGGCTAGTCCCCCTGTCGTCCCTCACGCTTGGACTTCCCAGTGTTACCTTCAAATCAGAAAGGGGCCTCTGTCAGTCCAAAGGACATTCTTTGTCTCTGGCTTCCTCCTGGATGCCCAGTTGCCATGGACACCCGGGCCGTGTGGACCAGATCTGCCTTTGGAGTGAACTGAAATGAAGATCTTGCACTCGTGTAAACGCTTCTCTCTCGCCCATCGGTCCCGTCCTGCTGCCGTTTCTGCTAGGAGAGCTCACAGGGCACACATCAGCGTGTGTTGGCGTGTAGTGCTGCGGGTGAGCAGGAAGTTGGAGGACGGGCATGGGAGCGGGACACAGCCTGGGAGCCCTGTGGCACAGCAACCTCTTCAACAAGCGCCCATGAAGATCCTTGACTGGCCTCGGTCTTTGCAGAGTGTGACAGCGCTACCCTAGTTCCTGGGCGTTAGAGAGGGCAAAGCCACGACGACCGACCCCTCGCCAGGAGAGCCAGAGGAGCGTGCCACTTACAGATATTAAACTCGGGGGGTACGATCTTTAGTGCATGTCCCAGGAAGGGCACTTGGAGGCCGGGTTTAGCTCCTGGCTTGAATTCTTACCGCCCTTGACATTAAAATCTGTGTCTGTGTCTGCACGGCGGCTTGTCTGCAAGCCCCTTGAGGACAGGGGACAGCCGAGGGTATAGCTCCGGCCCACGCCATGTGCGGGCACAGAGCAGGTGCTCGATGAGCGATTGAGTTGAACAGCTATTTGCTGATGGTAATTTGGGGCACAAAGTTTATCCTCTTTGAGCCCCAATTTCCTCATCTGTCAAATGGGGTAATATTCATATTATCCGCATAGTGTCACTTGAGGCTTACATGAGAGAGCACATGAAGTGCCCAGCACAGGGCAGGGCTCGCTAGCTGTTGGGCCTCGGTCTCCCAGCACACGCAGGCCAGTGTCTCACCCGCCTCGGCAGGGTGCCAACAGCATTGGGGTTCAGACTTCCTGGGAATCCAGGACAGCATAGGACGTTAAAGCCACACATTTAGTTGTCGTGCCGTGACGAGAACCTGGTTCTGGTTTCTGCCTGTCTCACGAGGAGATGGGCTGGGAGGGAAGAGGCAGGCAGTGGTGGGCGTGATGACTCCTTTGCTCCCCTGAGCTGAGGGATCTGTGGTTTGTGCCCCACCAGGCACGGAGAAGTTGTCACAGGTTGACCAGTGGCGGGGTGATGTCCCTTCTGTTCTTCCTAATTCGGAGCTAATCAGATTCTGACAGTGCTCTGGGCTCTCTGGGCATGAATCTAATAAAGGAGGCAGTGACCTGGAGAGGAGGACAGATGACAAGTGACTGGAGGAGGACAGCATTTCTCCTTTCAGTACATTTTTCCCGTTAGAGTTGGGGCAAGGTGTCGGATCCTGGGGAGTCCCAAGGAAGAGCGAGGCGCCTTCCCTGCCTTCCAGGAGTGCGCAGGGCACTTTGGCAGAGAAGCACCGAGAGATTAACACAGAACAGAACCAAAAAGGGTAAGGAAGCTCCAGGTGGGCCTGGGGACAAAGAGGAAGGGCCAGTGCTGGCGCTGGGGACAAGGTGGTGAGCGACATGGCCATAGGGCCTGGAGGCACTGGCAGGTGGGGGAGTGGCGGCAGGGAGCGAGGCGTGGGGCTGGGTTGTGATATTCAGGGAGCCGGAGAGGTTCCTCTGAGTGGACCTGGTAAGCACAGTGGGGGTTGCAGAGGGAAACTGAGGCAGGATCGTGTCGCAGAGTCGGAATTTCACTGGCAAGCAGTGGGCCATTTGCGCAGGGGACGACATGACTCAGGGAGCTGGGTCAGATTGAAGAGGGAGAAGCTGGAGGCCCTGCCTCAGGTGTGGCAGTGAGGGTGGCTGGGAGGGAGGCGATGACGAGAGCCCCAGGACACGGCACCTGGGTGGCCTGGGCCTGGGTGGGCAGCCCCACTAGCTGGTGGGGAGGTCACAAGAGGACTTTGTTGCGATGGAGAGGAGTTTAACTTTGGACGGGCTGAATTGGAAGTGTCCGTGGGATGTCCAGGCAGAGACGTGTAGTTAGAAATGGGGTTGGAATTTGGGAGGAGGACAGAGCCGGCACTGGAGTTCAGACTCATCTGTGTGGGTGACAGATAAGGACAGAGGCCACAGTTCCAGAAATGGGGATTCACTGTGGCCAAAGCTTCTGGAACTAGTGTTTCCATGCACCATGGGAACAGGGATTGGGCTGTGTTTCAAGAATGTATCAGAAACCTAAAGAAGAACCCAGCCCCGGCCTCAGGATCCGCCGTGCAGTGCGGTGAGGACCGCAGGGCGCGTAACTACTGAAAGCCGACAGCGAGCTGAGTGGCGGGCGGGAGGGACCAGGCGATGGGCTAAGAGATGCAACAGCCGTCCAGGGCAATCGTGCGAAGCTATTAAAATGATGATGCAGGGGACGTTCATTGCCGTGAAAAGATACACCATTAAGTTAAAAAAAGCAGTTAGAAAATGGTATGATCTTGTTTCTATGAAAGAATGTGTATTATATGTATATTTCTAGGAAAAAAGTATGTAAGGATGTAAATCAGATGCTGGTGGCTTGTCATGTTTTCCCTTTTGTTTATCTGTATTCTACTACAAGGCGTATGTAGGAACACTGTCTTCACCCCTTTTTAATTTTTTTATAATTTTAATCTTTATTTATTTATTTTTAATGAAGAGGTGGGGAGTGGTGAAGAGGGGTGTTCAGTTGCCTGGCTTTTTTTGTTGTTGTTGAGACAGAGTCTCACTCTGTCACCCTGGCTAGAGTGCCGTGGCCTCAGCCTAGCTCACAGCAACCTCCAACTCCTGGGCTCAAGCGATCCTCCTGCCTCAGCCTCCCGAGTAGCTGGGACTGCAGGCACGCGCCACCATGCCCAGCTGGTTTTTTTTTCCTTTCTTTTTGGTAGAGACGGGGGTCTCACTCTTGTTTAGGCTGGTCTCGAACTCCTGACATCAAGCCATCCTACCAGAGTGCTGGGATTACAGGCGTGAGCCAGTGCACCTGGCTCACCCCCTTTTTAATGGTGGAATTGCCAGCAGTTGTCAGATGTGGCAGAGGGAATTGGTCCCAGTCACCAGGAGGGACTGAAAATTAGCTCCCGAGCACTGCAGGGCAGAAGCGTGTGCCAGGTGTGAGGGTCACCACAGGTCTGCAGGTCAGTGCCTGTGCTCACTGCTGTCCCCTGAGGCCTGACACCCATTGCTGCTGGGAGAGGCGAGTAGGCAGCCATCTGAAGAGGGGCAGCAGCAGTGCTCTGACATGTGGGGCGGTGGCGGTGACGCTGCGGGTGGTGGGCCGTGGCGGTGCCTTTCTGTGGTACACAGGCTGCTGCCAGCACCTGAGGCAGAGCGACAGGAGGAGGCCGAGCTTGTTTCCCCTCCCGCCTCTGCTCCTCCCTGCCGGCTGCCCAGGCTGGGCGGGTGGAGGCCGGCACCGGGGCTGTGAGAGCTCCTTCCGTGGTGGCGCCCCTGCTTTACCTTCCTCCCGTGGGACTGTGCGAGCTGAACGCATGGGGACACGCAGCGCTATTCTGAGCGGCAGTGGAGGCCTCATTTCCCAGCGCTGCAGTTTTGGAAACCTCACCTTGGAGAGGCATGTGGGGCCGGCCTGGCCTGGGTTTGGAGGGGACAGGGGCAGGAAGGGAAGGAGACCATGCTGTCCCTGTGCATTGGCGGGTGCGGCAGGGCCTGGGGGCCGTGCTGGGTGGGCCCTCCTCATCTCCAGCGTGGGGCCTGGAACCCGGCACAGGGCAGGGAGGCGCCTGCTTCTCACCCGAGTGTACCTTATGATCTGGAGAAAAGACCTGACCAACCCTGTAGCCTCAAGGAATTTGTTCCCTTCTCTGTAACTTGCCTGTCAACCCCACCTGAGAAAACTCACGGCCTCGTGAAACAGAAAGTCACGTGCAGGCCCTGGGCCCTCTGGCGCTCCCGGAACCTGGAGTATCGTTACTCGCAGGCGCTGCATGGGGAGGGCCTGCTGTCATGTCCCCAGGTCAGGTCTGTCCCTGTGGAGAGGCTGGGGCGAGTGCTGCTGTGGCACAGCCCAGGGAGGGTGGCCTGGTGGCGTCTTCCGGAGGCTGCAGGCCGCTCCTCTGAGCTCTGGTCTTTCCTGCAGCGGCCGCCTCAGCATGGAGAGCGGCGCAGGTGCGGCGTCCACCCCCAGAGCGCTGCCTTACTTCGTGGCCTCCTCCCAGCTGCTGGGCCTGACCGTGGTGGCCATGACTGGCGCTTGGCTCGGCCTGTACCGGGGCGGCATCGCCTGGGAGGGCGCCCTGCAGTTCAACGTGCACCCGCTCTGCATGGTCATAGGCCTGGTCTTCCTGCAGGGAGACGGTGAGTCCGGGGCTGCTCCTCTGTGCCCGGCCTGCGGGTGTCCCTGACAGAGGCAGTTTGCGGCGATCCTGTCATCCCTGCGGTCTCCTCCAGTTAGACACATATAAGATTCTAGAAAAGACAGAAGGAAGCTGGCTTAGGGCCTGGGGAAACAGGACCCAAATCTGGGCCCTGAGGCAGGTGGTGGCAACTCCTCTCCAGCTTGTCCAGCACTTTCCCCTCCGGCTCCAGCAGGGAGCACTGGGGTGAGTGCTGCATGGAGCAGAGGGCCGGGCCTGGGCCTGGGCTGCTTTGAAAGTTGGGGGATGTCAGCGTATGTGAGCACGTGTGTGCTGCTGGCCTTGGACTTGGCAGAGAGCTAGCACGCCTCCCTCCGCGGCAGGAGGGGCACTTGGCCTCCCGGCCAGGAATCCAGGAAGCTGCTCCTGCATCTGGTTGATCCACTCTTCCTAGGCTGGTCCTGGTGACAGCCACCCCCTCAGCAGAACCCCAGGAGGCCTTCCCCGCACGGCCCGGCCCTGCCACAGCAGGACACGGGATTAGGTTGGGATCCAGGATCCTCCTTGCTGAACGTAGTGACGTAGTGACGATGTGATCAGACTCCAACACTGGGCGGTCTGAGGAGCAATAGCACTAGAAGGTGAACTCAGAAGCTGGTTGTGTCCTCGGTGTGACTGCACGATGAACCCCAGACAGCCCTGAACTCACGGGGTGCCTGACAGGAAGGTGGGGTGGGGTGGTGTCTGCTGGGCCCGGCAGTTCCTTTAGGTGGGGGCTGAGGGCAGAGGCCCCGCCTGTGCTGCCTGTCCTGGGGCGGGGTGGTGGCACAGCCCCCCGACCTGGCCCTTCTGGGGTGCCCGAGGGTTGAGGAGCGTGTCCAGGCACACGCAGCCTGACGCGCCCTCTGCAAAGGCCAGGGGGGCCCTGCTTTCTCCTCCAGCGCCCGAGGGGGGATGCCTGGGCTCGCTGCTCAGCAGGAAGGCCTCAAGCACCGGCGAATGCACTGACAGTCCCTCCTCACCTCCCATAGCCCTGCTGGTCTACCGCGTCTTCAGGAACGAGGCCAAGCGCACGACCAAGGTCCTGCACGGGCTGCTGCACGTCTTTGCCTTCGTCATCGCGCTGGTGGGTGAGTTCCTGGGCACAGCCGTCCCTCTGCCCCACCTGCTGCTTCAGGCTTGGGAAGTGGCTGCTCCACACGCTCGGCCCCCTACTCCAGAGCTGTTTTGGTCCCGTTCCCACCCACCAGCCTCCCAGGCAGGGACACTGGGTGCCGGCAGCCTTCGAGCTGGACTGAGGCCCAGAAGTCCCAGTAGCTGGTTCCCTCCGGTCATCTCACCCCTCCCTCTTCCACGTCCAACTCCGTGCTCACGTGGCCCCGTCTCCGGTCCAGGCTTGGTGGCAGTGTTCGACTACCACAAGAAGGAGGGCTATGCTGACCTGTACAGCCTGCACAGCTGGTGCGGGATCCTCGTCTTCGCCCTGTACTTTGTGCAGGTGAGTCCTGCCAGCACTGCAGGACCAGGGCCACCGGCAAGGGGGGAGGCGGGTGGGGGGCGGAAAGGAAAGTAGGGCTGAAACGGTGGTAGAGGGGCCCATTTTCCTGGGTGTGCCTGGAGATGGGAGAGTTGTGTTGGTGCAGCTGGATGCTGCCTTCAGATGCCGACATGGCTGCCACGTTAGGGTTTCACAGGTGAGGGTGTCCTGGTCGCAGGCGCCCTTCTGGCTGACTTAGCTCCCCAAGGATACATGTATGACGCACTGAGCCACGGCCTCCAGCGTTCCGCGTGGGGAACCCTCCACTATTCTGTAGAGGGAGGAAGCAAACGGGGGCGCAGGGGTTTGCAGAGCTCACGTGGGAGCAGCCTGCTCCGAGTGTCCTCTCGCCGGGCAGGCCGACGGCTGGCTCAGCTGCCAGAACTGCCTCTGCTTTTCTTCCAGTGGACTGTGGGCTTCAGCTTCTTCCTGTTTCCTGGAGCTTCGTTTTCTCTGCGGAGTCGCTACCGCCCCCAGCACGTCTTCTTTGGTGCCACCATCTTCCTCCTTTCCGTGGGCACCGCCCTGCTGGGCCTGAAGGAGGCGCTGCTGTTTAAACTCGGGTGAGTGTCCCCGCAAGGTGAGGCGGCAGGGCCCACCCGGCCTGCGCACACCGACCCTGCCCTCCGCCGCCCTGGACGTTTGCTTCTGAGTTGGCTTTTTGTGGGCCGAGACAAGCCACGGTTACTCTGTCTGGGAGAGGGACGGGGGGGTTGGTGTTGGGATTCCCGCAGCATCTTTAAGGCCCAGGGTCCAAAGGGCATTTGGCCCAGCTGACCCCTTGGGTGGCTTCCCCCTTCCATCCTACCCCTGCAGGGCCGACTACAGCAAGTTCGAGCCCGAGGGTGTCTTGGCCAACACGCTGGGCTTGCTGCTGGTCTGCTTCGGCGTGCTCGTGCTCTACATCCTGACTCCGGCCGAGTGGAAGCGGCCTCCCCAGGCTGAAGAACAGGCTCTCTCCATGGACTTCAAGACGCTGACGGAGGGGGACAGCCCCAGCTCCCAGTGACGGCCTGCTCCGGTCCCGTGGAGGGGCCTGGCGGTGGAGGCCCCCTCGGCTCTGTGGGGCTCTGAAGGTGTCTGCCCACCCCCTGCTGAGGCTGGCCGTCCTCGTCCTCGGGATTGGTGGCTCCCAGGGAGGGGCTCAGGCAGGGTGGGTGGGGAGTGTGGGTGCAGCCGTGTCTGTTTTAGTGATTTCCGGGTAGGGCTTGTCCTCCGCTTTCTTTTTGTCACTGCTGTTGTGGACAGTCCAGTTGGTCGTGTGTAGGCCCCGTGTCCCCATTGCCCCTCCTGTGCAGAAGGCTTTGGAGAGGGTTTGGGTGTCAGTCCTGGTCACAGACGCACAGACCCCAGAAAAGGAGTTGGCGATGGCTTTGCGCAGCGGGGGCATCGTAGCCAACGAGGTTTACCCGAGGCTCGATCACTGCTAATTGAAAACCTCCTGGTGTCCCGCCACGGTGACTTGCAGTACAGTCGGCACTGGCAAGTTTTGACGGTCCCTATGGGGACGGAATAAAAGAAAAAAAAAGAAGAAAGAATAAAATATTTGTTAAATATAAAAAAAAAGAAGAAGAAAAATAAAAAAAAGGAGTTGGTGAGGGGCCCCACCCTCAGGCAGCAGAGGCCTGAGGCCAGGCCAGGGACACTGTGGGGCCTCAGGGACAGACTGGGAGAGCGAAGGCTGCTGCTCTGTGTACCGATGAATTCAAGCTGGGGGGCCTAGCTGAGTGACACCCGTTCTTGGCAGCGGAGCAAGGGATACTATGTGTAAAGTATGTTGGTTCAGAGCAAGGTTTCGCAGGAGAGGGGAGGGACGGGCCCCTGGGAAGCACTGGAGGTGTGGCTTTGGCCCCACCGCAGTCTTTAACCCTCTAGCCCCATGATGGCCCTGCTGGGGAGGGGATAGAGGCCGGGTGACTTGGACGCACTTTCCCTTGGCAGATGACGGCAGCCTGAACAGGAAGGTGCTCTGGACAGTGGGGTGTCTGGCATCTCCCTCCTGCAGGGGCCCCTGCTGCCCCACTTCTCAGCCTGGTCTCCTCTCCGAGCTGCCTCGGGCACTGCTCAGGCTGGGAGGTGGAGGGCATAAACCTTTTTATTATTTTTTAAACGAGAAGCTCCCGCTGCTGCCTCCTTTTGCTAGAGCCACAAGGGGCTGCTTGCGGCTCAGCCCCTCCTGCTAGAGCTGTCTGCTTCTGTTCGGGAGCACAAGTCTCGTCTCTTACCTGGGGCCCCTCGGTGCAGGAAGTCAGGACTGAGTCAGAATCAGACCCATCCCCTGTGGTGTCTGGACATCACTCCAACTCCACGAAGTGTGTTGTTAGCTGAGTCACTGACTTCAGTTTAGAAATAATGTGATTAGAGCATTGATCTCGTGCTTCTTAGATTTGGCAAATGCTTTCTCCTTGTTTTCCGGGCTTTGAAGAGCATGACACAGTTTGAGACAGGCACAGTTTACTTAAGTGAAGAAATTAATACAATTTCCAAACCTGAGTACTGTTCCTCTAATGGTTGCCTTTGTCATACCTTAGGGAAACGGGCTAATCTCCTTTAATGCTCAGATTTCTAATAATTGGATTTTGCCATGGGTCCTATCTTGGCGATGATGGCAATGTCACTTCTGGGAGCAGCTGGCTGTGGTCCTGTCCCTTCCCCAGCAGGGGCTGCCCAGACACCTTCCAGCCCTTCCCACCTCCTCCCAGCTTGCTGGGATGCTGCTGTTTGCCTCCCATTTAGATTGTACGCTCTTTGAGGGCAGGGGCACTATCAACTCTAATCGCCTGGCGCATGCTCGTATAGTCAAATGTTTACACGTGGGAAAACTCCACCTTAGGCAAACTACCAAAGTACAACTGTGTATCTCTCTGGCCAGAGTGCTGCATAGACAAATGGAACCTTAGATTCACAATAAAAGTTTGTAAACTGGTCTGTTTGCCAAAGGGTATTGCTAAGAAGCCAAGGAAGGCCCCCAAAAGCAGATCTGTGGTGGTTTATTTTATTTTGCTTGTGGCCAATCTTCTGTGAAGTGCAATGTACTGTTGGTGCAACAGATGATTCAATAAATGTCTACAGCAGACCTCGCGCCTGCTGTCTTTATTTACTGCGGCAATAAAGGGAGCCAGAGCTATTAGTCAGAGACATGAAGTTAGTTCTACTAGGGTTGAAAGAAATTCTGTCTCCCCCGGCTGGGCACAGAAGGTAAAGTGATTAATGGTATTTATCACGGCACAGGGGCTGCAATGGGCCAGTGGTTGTCCAGTCTCTGGACCTAGTGGAGGCAGCTCTTGCATGTGGTCAGATAAACCCTGTGCTCAGGCCAGAGAAAATGGTCTGAAGTGTGGAGCTGCAGGAGATTGATAAGGGCTCGGCAAGAAGTTTCCTCCAGTATTCAGTTGACCTTTTTCCTTTTTAAATGTCCTTTTGGTCCTTAAGAAGAGCGAAGCTTTTGGAACGAGCTGAGATTCCACTTCAGATCCACTTCCATGGCTCAGGCAGGAGAGCGTTGATGGCAGATTCGGGTGGGACCTCACTGTGCACCTTCAGCACCGTGTGCCTTGTCACTTAAAGCTACTTAAAAACTCACCAGAGCTCACGACTTTAAGGGACCCTACGGCAAATCCTCTCATAAGGAAACAAGAATGCTTGCATTTGTTTAAACTTTCTGTGTTGTGGCTGGTTTCTAATGTGTAGGAGCCAGAGTTGAGAGGTGTTTCCTTAGTGCATCTGTAGAGTCTTTTCAAGGCTGCTGAGTGGACCTCCATTTGCTTATAAACGTTTATTCAAAGCACTTGGCTTGGTACATGTCACAAGCTGATTCCCCAGTCGAGAGCAGGGCTGGCTACAAGTGTGAGGGGCAGAGGGATCTCGTTAATGTGCCATCTCGCTTCTGGGATTTGGGGCGAGCCTCTGACTCATGCGTCTCTGTGTCTATGAATATTCAAATGATCCCAGGTACTGGAGGATGCTGCTGCCCTCTCCAGAGGGCTACTTCTTCACCTCCTCCTCTTTGAACCTCACCTTCTTACTGGGACTGGAACCCTGAGAGGTCCCAAAGCTATTCCTCTTGACTGTGGCATAGCATTATTTCTCCCAAAGAGCACAAAGCATCTCCCAAGCTCTCCTTGGCTCAGCGCCTTTGGGTGTCATTCCGACGTTTGCTTTTCTTAGATTACCTCTTGGTGGACAGTGAAAAGCTTTCAGGGCAGATTTGATTCAGAGTCTCACCTTTGCCTCTGTGACCTTGAGCAACCTAACCTCTCAGGATCTGCTTCCATATTTGTATTTTGGAGACAGCAATGCCGCCTGTCAGAGCTTTGTGTGAGGAATGCGTTAGGGAACATATGCAAAGTCTCTACCATGGTGTCTGGGACATGAGCATCTCAAGAGAATGAGCCATGGGGAAGGACTCCGAGCATTTCTCCTCTATTGGGGACGTCCCCTTTTATCATAGGATTTCCGACATGATACCATTATCATCAATTCCCTCTCATTCCTGGGAATGGAATGACTCAGTTGCCAAGCTTCTCCAAGCTCCCCCAGCTTCTGTTCGGAAAGATGCATGAGGATGACACTCCGGTCCCACACTCGATTTCTGCCTACCCGTGCCCAGACCACTGCAAGGGACTCTCGTCTGCCACATGCATAAGAGCACTGCATCTACCTAAGTTACCCAAAGGCGCCTATTTGGGAATGAAAATAACAAGGGGAAGAAAGTCTGATTCAGTACTTCTGAGAATCTACAAAGACTTTTGCTGAGTTCGCCGTTTCCTTTCTACTCTGAGTGGCTTTTACTTGAGGTTCACGGCAAATTCTTTTAAAGAATTAGTTTTCTATGAATCACTACCTTTCTCCTTTCTTCCAATGCCCCAGACATCCTTAAAAACCTGGGGTTTTGGCCGGGCACGGTGGCTCACACCTGTAATCCCAGCACTCTGGGAGGCCGAGGCGGGTGGATCGCTCAAGGTCAGGAGTTCTAGACCAGCCTGAGCAAGAGTGAGACCCTGTCTCTACCAAAAAATAGAAAGAAATTATCTGGGCAACTAAAAAAAATATATATATAGAAAAAATTAGCCGGGCATGGTGGCGCATGCCTGTAGTCCCAGCTACTCGGGAGGCTGAGGCAGAAGGATTGCTTGAGCCCAGGAGTTTGAGGTTGCTGTGAGCTAGGCTGATGCCACGGCACTCACTCTAGCCAGGGAAACAAAGCGAGACTCTGTCTCAAAAAAAAACAAAAACAAAAACAAAAAACCTGGGGTTTTGCCAACCATTTATCCATTTTTGATTTTTAATGAAATAACTGGAGCAGCCTAGGAATGGTTTTCAGACCCAGCAGGTGGTGTCCTTCCAGAGTCCTCTCTTCTCTTTGAAGACAATTGTGACATCCAGGCTGGATGACTATGCATGGTCTGGAGTTTTCCTGCTACCCCAGGCTTTGGTTGTTTCGGGAAATGGATGTGCTAAACACACACAGCAGGAATGTTTGTTTAGCACAAATCTGATGTCTAGAGGAAGTGGTCTACTTCCTTGCTTGTCCCCGAAGTAGACAGAGGTAGCAGTTAGGCAGAAAGGTTCCAGGGCTCAGTTCCTTTTTTTTTTTTTTTAAGGTATTGAGTCTCCAGCCCTTTTCAGGAAATCTGCAATCTCCCCCTTCACAATGCAACTGCCTAGCTCTCTACATGGCGAGGACTGGAAGTCAGGATTTCTGAAGAAAAAATAAAGCCACTGGGAGCAGTGCCCCTCCAGCTTTGACTAAGTTAGCCTTTGGAGCTACCATGGGGGCTGTCCTCCCCACGACCTGGGACATGCGGTCTCTAAACCACTCACACGGGCAGCCCACTTCAGCCTTGGATTTTTGTAAGGTGGCTGGATTGGGGCTGTAGCTTCAGCTATCAACATTAAATGAGAAGAGCTCAGTGCTCCCTTGGCATAGCTGGAGAAAAACCTCTTCCACTGAAGAAAAAGCCACCTTTTCTCAACAAATGCAGCAAGCCTTTGCTGATAGGTCCTTGGAACTGCATCGTTTCTTGTCTACGGCTATCTCAAGGGCCTACTGCAGTGTTGGACGCCAAGGAAGGGCTCAATAACTTGACTGACTGAATAAGTGCACGAAGGGGTGACTCTGAGTGTTCCATAGTGGACCAACCAAATCACCAGGAATTTGGCCTTCGCCAAAAACCTGCCAAATTCTTCCTTGGGGGAGGCATCCTCATACTGTATGCTTCAGTGAGGGTGAGCTTAAGAGCCAGCTCCCTGGAAAAAGATTGTAATGGAAGGAGAAAAGCACCACGACGCCATGTTTTTCCAAGTGTTAGCCATTTATAAATAAGTACATTTGCTTTCATACATACAGTTCATTGTACAGATGACGATCTGTATACATGGGGCAGGAAAATGCATTCGTTTGAACTTTTCACATCTATCTCACACAGCTCACATGTACAGACAATAAAACTGCTCAAGCAAGTACAGCAAAGGAAAATGTCTTTCCTTATACACAGGGGGCTAGATGCCTCTGTTGGGTGTGGGACATCCCCACTGCACGA